GGATGGGTTCAGGTTGGGCTTAGGCCCAACCCAATTTGATAATTGAGCTAATAGGCTTTTTTTTGCTGGACCTAACTTCGTCACATAGGTTGGGCTAAAATAAAGGTCCAATCTCGATACTTAGCCACCACTAGCGCGACTTGGTGGTGGCTAACAAATGCTAGTAACATGAATTATTTCTTCACATTATTAGCATGGCTTAGCATGTGTTCTAAAAGGATAAAGAGAAGGGAGAGGCTTACCTTGGTTGAATAGGGATGTTGGCTAGCTAGTGGAGCCTTAGACATGACATGTTGGTTTATTGGTGGAGCTCATAGTGGATGTTGTTGAAGTTGAAGAAGTTAGAGTGAGGAAGGAGAGGTAGTTGTTGCTGGATATGGTTGGTATTGAAATTCACGTTACTATCTTAAATGACTTGGCCAAAAAGGAAAGAGATTGTTGGTGGTGGTGTTTTTGTTGCTGGTGGTGGTGAGTTGTCCAATAAAAGTTGTGCCATTTATGGTGGTGCTACCTAAATGGATGATAGTGTTGCTACAGGAAGCGAAGAAAATGATATTTCAATTGGTTTTTCGTTGGTGCAAGTAGAGATGGTGGAAAGGCAATGGAAAAAGGTTAGAAAGTGTGATGTTGGGTTTGGACCAAGAGTGGTTTTGTCTTATGTCTATAAGAACAAGGGAGAAAGAATGGTGGTTGTGTTCTTTTCTTAATTTTTTTTTTTTAAATAGAAAAGTTGGTGTACAAGGTAGGTTTGTGCTTCAATTTCTCCTTTTTTTCTCAAAGGATTTCATCACTATTTATAGAGGTTGAAAGAAGGATATGAGATGTTTATCTTGCATGAACTATGGCCTTTAATTCAAATGGAAAGAATCCCCATTATTGGCCATAAGTTACCATCACAAGTTTCTAATGTTAGGTTGCATAAGCTGATTAGGTCTTTGTCTTTAAGATGACGCTACAACTACTACAAACAAGACCACCTAGTAGGAATCAAGTTAGTGTGTCATACAGTGTCAGGCCATGAGAATGATGGCTTGTTTGTTTTATTTGGTAAAGAGACAATACATTAAATGCCTCTCAAAAGCTTTTCAATTACAAAGGTTAATGATAATGAACAACAAAGGTTAAGAATGGTTACTAAGATACGTCTTAAGAGTCATAAAAAGATCTCCTTTACTCTGCCATCATAGTAATAATAATTTTGCACATACTTTATGAAATAGAAAACACAGTTAGTTAATTATTTTTTTTAGCTACTACCCTCTCCCCCCAACCAAAACAAGACATTGTCCTCAATGTTCTATGGTAGAAAGATAAAGTATAGAAGATATCACCTGAAATAACAAACACCGACAAACCTGAAACACACTGAAACAAAAATAAAAAATAACAAAATACAATAATAAAACAAAAAGACAAAAAGATATTACAAATAAAGACTCAAATCTAATCTAAGCTTTTTACGACTTTCCTTAGATGACAGATTTATGCAACTCATAGAGGGATCAATTACAAGAATGAAAGATTGTAGTTGGTTAATCAATTGTTCAGCAGTAGCAATAGAGATTATGATTTGTCGTGTAGAAG